TGCTATTAACATGATTGCCTCCGAGTGGTCGTTCGCTGATGTCGATCGTCAACTCGTTACTCGCAGGTAATTTCGTGCGGTAGCGCAAGGTGCTCCACGTGTTCGCGATTCTCTCGGCTGGTGAATCCAGATTACGAGTCACGAATATGTGCCGGTGAAACACGTGTGTCCCACACATGTGAAACGTACATGGCACTAGTTTCGTGGCGGTGCCATTTGGTCAAAATAGACCAATCTGTCAAGGTCATACGTGGAGTCTCGTATGGCCTTGTATGACGGAGTATAGGGACGAGTCCGTGCAGTCGGCGCCGTCAGTTGCACTCGAACACTGAAAAAAATTTCTGGTTGAATATGGACGAATCAGATAATTCCTTTAGGATTTACCAGAATTCCTTTAGGAATTATCTGATTCGTCCATATTCAACCAGAAATTTTTTTCAGTGAAGCTTTGTCCTAGAGAAGCGGGGCCGGCTATTCCCCTTCCCAGGGATGACAATACTTTCGAGCACCTTACTGTCTCGAGTCGTCAGTGCATCAGCGGTGGCACGACACCTCGTCCCGTCAGCTTTAGATACTCCGGAGCGGAAGGAGCGCTGACGGAGACGCTGAACCTGCGACCGTGCACGATGCCGGGGGGGGGGGCGGGCGAACGCGGGCGGCGCCGTTCCCAGCGATTGAAGTTGCACGCCGGCACGCGCAATTAAGGCCGCGTTAATATCGTCAAACGGTGCGTGCCCGGCGATATCGCGCGCACGTGCGCGCGCCACGGAACGTGGCCGCGAAAAGGATCCGCGAAGGTCGGGGTGGTCTCCCTGCAGAGGTTCGACGAGCAGTCAAGTGCGTCGATCTGAAAAAAAAAGAAATCGCGTTAAAAGAGAAAATTCTGCACCGAGAACAAAAATTGTTGAGCCTGAATATGTTTAATCGCGGGCATGTCTTTAGTTAACATTTTCGTCGAGCATTAAAATAATTTTCCATTTCTAATTACTTTTAATACCCACACTAGAGAAAAAGAAATTGTTAATTCAAGTAAATATTCGTTAATTGACAAAAATATTTCTAATCGTTTTTAATACCCACGCTATAAAAAAATTTGTTAATTCAAGTAAATATTCGTTAATTGACAAAAATATCACGTCAACAATGTTAACGTAATATTTTTGTCAATTAACGAATATTTACTTGAATTAACAAATTTTTTTATAGCGTGGGTATTAAAAACGATTAGAAATAGAAGATTATTTTAAACTATTAAACTGGAACGCCGAAGATCTTAAAGCCTGGCGCGTAGGGAACAGTGGGAGAAATTTGGAAGATTACGGAAAGTGCGCGCCGTAGAAGCCTCCGCGATTTTCTCCGCTTTTGATCGCCGTTGGGTATTATTTTGGTATTTGGCCGCGTTATTTATCGAGCCGTCTATTGGCGATCTGATTTGCGGTTGGACCGCCGCCAGGAACGGCGGCTTACGGCTTTCCGCCGGTTGTGCTGCGGTTCCGAGAAGCGAGATCCGACGAGCGACGAATATCCACCCGCTAATACCGTCGCGATACGACGATTGAGTCGTTCAAAGCTCGCCATTGGTTCGGGGAAACAAATCGGCCGGCGCGCCAAAATCCACCGACTGTCAAAACGTTATTTTTCTCGCCACCTTCTAAGCGTTTGCAGATAATCGTGCCATGCAAAATAAAAATTACTTTGTAGAAAGGAGAAACGACTGTCGTTTTAACATCGTTGTTACGGACTCATCCTTCTGCCGAATTGTGTTATTCAGTCCTCTTCATGTCTGGGATCATTTAGAAATCTACTGATATTAACACATATAGAGGGATGATTCTGAAATCACATGGTGCTCTGACCTCCTACGTTAAACCCTATAAGGGTGTTTCCAAACTTATGGAGGGTACTGTACAATAATGTAGTTATACGCGCATAATTAAGATACTTTGGACATTTCGCGGACCATCTGAAATCAACTTCGATCTACCGAATCTCTCGAAACCAAAGATAAGTTAACAAAGACGCGACCCCCCGAAGCCACCTTCGCGACTAAATATTCTGTAGACGTGGCGTCGAACGAACGGCTAAATCATGAGCGAGGGCAAACGAGGCAGCAGAGCAGACTCGCGAGAAAGTTGGAGAAATGTCGGAATTTATAGACACCCCCTAAAGAGCTTTCGTTCGTCACAACAAACACGTCGCGGTGCATCCAACGCGATCATCCATCACGCGCGCCTCCGAGCGAGCGAGCGAGCCGTATTAATTCGCGTCGCGAAGCTGTCCGTATTAATTCAGCCCGCGAAGAAAATGTCAGCCGCTGCGACGGGCCCACTGCGAATTTAATCTCGCGGCCGATGGGACAGAGCGGGGCTATTTTTTGACTCACAATCAGCTGAACTAGCTAAAGAAAAACATTTGGACAAACATATGAAGAGCCAAAATGTTCCATGACCTGCAAGGTGCCTTTTTATTTTGAGAATTGAAAGGCCTCTCCCTATTTGGAAAACTTTTTACTTGATTCTTTAACTGAGCCAAATCCCATTTTATCCTATGCAGAATTGAACAAGGGAAACTTTACCGGAAGGATTTCCCCGGATTTTCGGATTCACACGTCACGACTGAGTCGAAAAAAAAAATTTTGTTTAATCATGCTGCACAGAAAAAAGAATATTCTCCTTTCGAAAATATGTTTCGTCTCAGCGTGAAAATCTTGAAGTGAAATTATATTGCGTCAAAGAAAGAAAACGTCACTTAAATGAAGCAATTTTATATAATTCAATCACGAAAAGTGTATGCTTACTATTTAAGAATAATTTTCTTGAATGGAAAGGAAACAATATTGGATAGCAAAAAGCATATATTCAAATCAAGGATTATAACGATTAAAATGATTTTAGTGTTTAAAAAATAATTATGTACTTGTATTCTTGAAGTGACAATTATAGTAATTAAATAAGACCGTAACATTGTTGGAATGTAAGATGTATGTTAAATGCTTCTGCGAAGATTATAGATTGTTGCGCATATAACAATCTATAATCTTACTATAACAAAACAATGAACGCGTTAATCTGAGTATATAAGAGTTGATCTGACACTAATTTTTCTCCTGCGTACCCTCGGCTTCTTCTGCCCGCTTCAATCTCCGCTTCCTTACTCAGGAATGTATTTTTTTACGCCGCTCGGTGTGAGGGTTCCACTTATTTTTGTCCGCGTCGTAACCCCGATCGCTGATTTTTCATCCTTGCCTCGCCTTCCGAGTTGCAGGAGCTCGCGAAATGTCAATACATCACGTCTCCGACGCAGCACTTTGTGCCGCGATTATTTTTGACCGGTGGAATATGCGCGTTTCACTTTTTATGATTTATTCATTATTAACTGATAAGAATGTTCTTGAATGTCGCCAGCAGTAATTGACAACGTCAATGCTTTCTTGACCATATCTGGCATTTTTAATAGTACAGAAAATTTATACACCCTCTTTTTTTCATACACCCTGGCTGAGGTAATGTTTTTCGCAATAAATTTTCTGTACTGTTAAAAATGCCAGATATGGTCAAGAAAACATGTATCTTTTCCTACTGAAACAATATACCACGCTGCAACCCCCGGTGCGCTTATTTCTCTGTCAGAGACCCCACACTGAGAGAAAAAAGTCGATATATTCAGAAACAAACGTTATTTATGACATTTTCTTCGATATTTATTGGTTATATAAAGAAATTTGGCTGTGGCAACAGAATATACATTTCTGTAAAGTATATCTAATTTTTGCACTTACTTGTTAACAAAATTTCATTTAATTCTTGCTCAGAAAATTAATTTATTTGTGGCAAATTTATGTTTTTTATAGCAATATTATATTTAGTTACAAGAAGATAATTTGTATAGATATGCGACATTTATTTCCAAAGATTAAATTTATTTCTTAGAAACAAATGATAATTTCGCTGGATCAAAATTTACTTCTAGTTGATTCACGTTGCATCATGCAATATGGCGGATCGTGCTAAAGGACGCCACAACGGTTCGTTGTCCTTCTGTGTCTGATTTGTCATATTAAGTGTGCAGTGTGCAGTGTTATATGTTAAGTGTGGTTCAGTGAAATAAACATTATGTGCCAGAAATAAATTTTCAAAGTCTTTTTTCTCAGTGTAGTTATCGCGTAACAAACGTCGCTCGACGCTCAATGCGTGACTCCACCCCTCGCTACTGTGTCCTAGGAGATATAAAGAAATGAACCATTTTGCATGCCTGCCGGGTCCAGCCTTCCGCTCATTGTGCGTTCATTCGGCCAGACGTTTCTATCAATTACGCGATAACTATTGCTAATTTTGCACAACGGTTTTCGTCTCAGTTTAACCCAATCTACCGTAATTTTTAGATTGGCCACAAACGAGTTTGACACCCTGTAGGGAAATGTGCGCGTTCGTTTCCCCAAAATTGCCATTCAGTCATCAGCGTCGCCTCGTTTCAGTGCGGATCCCACCGCGCGCATGGAAGTCTTCCGTTTCATCCCCTCGTATCCCTTCCTCCGCCACCTGACCTATCTATTTTCTCCGCTCCGTCCTCCTCTTCTCCGTGGGTGGAGACAAAGTGATAGCCGGGGACCAGTCATGCTCGCCGCCGAAGGCGGGGTCCCTCCGGCGTGACACGATGAGCGATCGCGCCGCAGGCCTTCTTCTTCAGACGGGCAGTAACATTCGGAGAGAAGAGGAAAGAGCGAGACGGTGAGGGAGGGGGAGAGAGAGGGGGGGGAGCAGAGGAGAGGAGAGAGACATTTTGCCGCGTCGACGTCGGCCGTGACACACGAGACATTTGGGGATCCTCTTTTCTCGCTGACACTCGGATCTCCACTCGCGGTGATTTCAGTTGGCGCGCGGCAGCCCAATTGGATATCGAATATCGAGCGATCGATCGCGCGCGAATTCGCCGCGGTAACACGTGCGTCGCGAACGGTACCCACGTGGCTCGCGCGCATTGGCGGATAAAACGGATGGTGGATGGGTGCTAATGATCGCGGTGGTTCAGTGCTCTGTACTTGGCAGCAGGTTGGCAACAAGTCGCACCTACTGTCCTCAGTTAACGCGCGGGCCTTGGAGGACGTGCGATGCATTAAGGAGTCGAACGCGGGCGGAGGTATGCGCGGCGTGCCAACGATACCGACGCCGGCGTCGCAGTGCGTGTCGGCGCAGACGGGTTTCTTCATCCTGCACGGCAATGGTGCTCCGGGCGTCAACGACGGCGCCGGTGCGGTCGGCGCGATGGCGCACGGCGGCAACGGCAACCCCGACGGTGGCTCATCGTTGACGTGCTACAGCCACTTCGCGCCGACCGCGCCGCATCTCATGGACCTGAGCGGCCCGCTGGCGGATCACCCGCAGCAACAACAGCAGCAACAGCAGACCCACCACCACGGCTACCATCAGCACCCGCACAACCAGGTCGCGGTGGAGTACACCGAGTTGACGCAGACGATGTTCAAGACCCCTCCGGAGGAGACGCGCTACCATCCCCATCCCCATCAACCCTCGAATCATCATCGGGAGCAGCCGGAGTACGAGCAGCGGCTCCACTCGACGTGCGACTCGCCCGAGTTCCTGTCGGACTACAGTAGGGACCACGAGCAGCACAGCATGTGCCTGACTCCGTCCTCGCAGAGCGTCTACTCGCCCAGCGGCTGCGGCGCCGACGAGATGGGCACTCCCAGCTCCGTCCAGTCGGTCCACGGCCAGACGGGCTCCTACGTGGACATGGTGGAGTACAAGCCGGGCGTGATGGAGGATAGGATGGTCGCGAGATACGGTTGTGAACAGGAGCTCGGCCGCGTCACCGAGCCGTCCTCGTCGACGACGACGACGACGACGACCAAGAGTTACGGCGGCGGCAGGGTGGGCGGCGTCAGGACGGCGGTCAAGAGAAAGAGGCGGCACAGCGGCAACAACAACAGCAACAGCAGCGGCAACGGTTGCTGCAACAGCAACGAGTCCGACGGCGAGGCCGCCTCGGCGGCCTCGTCGACGAGGACGAAGGCGCGCCGCAAGAACGACCAGGATCTGCAGAATCAGCGGACGATGGCGAACGTCCGGGAACGCCAGCGGACGCAGAGCTTGAACGAGGCGTTCGCCTCGCTTCGGAAAATTATACCGACCATGCCGAGCGACAAGCTCAGCAAGATCCAGACGCTCAAGCTCGCTACCAGATACATCGACTTCCTCTTCCACGTGCTCAAGAGCAACACCGAGAATATCGAGTACATCGAGAACGCAGGTAATTTCAACGCGTGCCGACGCTTCGCCCTGCGAATCCACGTAACGTCGAACCGGAGCACGATGAGGTGTTTCTCGCTTCAAAACACGTACGCTACCGTGTTTTCACTCGGCGCCCATTCTGTATAACGCGATGTCACCGTCTACGAAGCAGAACGTATCAGGCTACGTTGTACAAACTGGCATTGAGATCGCATTGAAATTTTACCGATCGGAGTAGAGTTTGCTAATCACACAAGTTTAGCGAATTTTACTCTAATCGAATTTCAATCCGCAGTCCGCAGGGGTCAATTCTGTGTCTTACAATAATGTGAAAATGCGAAAAGTGAGCGGTCTTGTCTCTTTCTATAATAAGAGGACAGCAATTTCACTGTAGTGTAAGATCACTCTTAATCTTGGGTGAATTTAAGGGCACATGCCAATCAGAATCATGAATTTTGCAACGGTTGCAAAGCAGTTTTTTTTCTGCTAAATGCAGCCCAGTATATTTCCTCCCACACGGCAACGAAAACAAGGGGATTGTCTGGTGCCGACGCGAAGGGTCCCAGCAGACTGACGTGTTTAACGTCGATCGGATTGTGCTCGCTTTCCTTCCGGTGCGCAGATATCCCGCCATCTTGCACCAAAGGGATGCTGCGAGCTCACGCTACGCGTTGTTTGGAGAGACTTGTCGAGGATCGTCTCCGTCGGCACCTCCTCCGTAGAACGGTAGACGTGTTTACAGCGGATCGGATGGCCGGGGGAGCGAATCCTAATTAAACAAACCGCCGTTTTCGGAGGCTCTTCCCGTAACTCACGCGAGATCGAGGCGACGAGCCCGCGACGAGCACTCACGCCGTCGTTACTCAAGTGCCTCTGAGGGAGAGCCCGCGTATCCACGATTCACCGTTCACGCAATATTTCTGGAGCAGCGAGGATTAAATCTTCTCCCCCCCCCCCCGCATGGGTCTTAATGTTTAACGTTCGAAATAACAAACAAACGCGACGTTTAACGGTGCTCTGCCGCCACCGAGCTCGTACACTGAGAGACCCATTTTGTTGAATGAAAGACAATTTATTTATACAATAGTTGACTCAACTGAATTTCTCGTTTGGATATGGACAGACAAATCTTTCAGTTGGTGCAACAAAAAAATTTAGTTGGAAAATTTGATTACATCAACATACAAAGGTGAACTTGCGCAGAATCGTTCGGTAATATTCAACTAAACGATTCGGTTGACAAACACAATTATTTAGGACGTGATGGGATGGACGAATTTGTTATCTCAACCATGAAATTTTGTTCAAACAAACAATTCGTGGAAACAAAATAAGTTTGTCGCTGCAACGTTTAACTTCTTTTCAGCGACGCACTTTTCGTTTTATACAACCAAATTACATGTTTCATTCAACAAACTGGGTCTCTCGGTGTAGACACTCGGATCCCCGCTGGCGATAACATCAACTGATAATATTAACGAATCGGGTAAATACGTGAAACCCGCGCGTCATGGCAGCGATGAGGCAGACTCGCCAACGATTTGTTGAAATCTCTACTCTTTTCTTTCGAAAGAAAATAAACTCATCTAACTAAAACTCATCTAACAGATGAATCTGTTAGATGAGTTTTAGTTAGATGAGTTTCAGTAGAAATCGAAGGAAATGAATCGCAACGACGTCATCTCGGATGAATGGCGGTCGACACTTGTTATCCGTCGTCGCGCGGCGCGCACAAATCTCGCCGAGTTCACCCTTATCTCAGCCGAGCGACGTAAACCACCCGGTGCACGCCGAACAGCGAGCGCGCATCCGCGACTCGGCGTGACTAATTGTAAGCCTGATGGCAGAGAACGATCCGTAAACGCTTAAGGCCTGCTCCACAATGAGTGGTTGGTCGTTAGTCAGAAGTCGGAACTGTAATGTCGATCCTTCTTCTTTCACCCAGTTCCGACTTCGACTAACGACTAACAACTCCTCGTAGACCGGGCCTAGGTATGTCTTAGTCGTAAACGTAAGGCAAGGCAGAGAAAAACTCAAGTCGTATACCCCTAGTAGCACAGCGCACTGGCTAAAGATTGGTCCAATGTTGGTTATATTAGAAATGCATTGGCTAATATTTAACAATGTAATAAAAATATTAGACTTCTAGTGATACAATATTAGACCAATATTGCTAAATGTCGCTGTCGGATGTCGGGACGTATCGTGTAACAGGCTTAAAGGTCGTTCTACATTAAGTTGCAAGCAATCGCTGGCACGTCCGTATTGTCGCGAGTCGCAAGAAATTTGCGATTTGAACTTCTACATTGCAGTCGTAAAGTCACAGCCAATCAAAGAAGTAGTCGTAAGGAATAGTCTACTACGATCGGTTAATTCTTATGTGTCTGATTGAATTACAGTCGTTTATTCTTGCGACTGCGACTCTGCGACTCTCATTGTAGACTCCGCATCAGTCTTACGACGGAATCGTAAACGGTCACGACAATCTTTCTGCTCAAGCCCTTAAGCGTTTACGGACCGTTGTCTGCCGTCAAGCCTTGCGATACCGGCTTGGAGCCAGGCGCCGGTCTGCCCGGTCGTTCCCAGTCTCTGCGACACGGATTTTCGCGCGGGACGGAAATATATACGTGGCGCGTTTCTTTTAACCCGGCCTTTCTCTTCTTCGGGGGGTTCTCTCCCAGGCGCGTCTCGCCCGATCTGCCGCCGCTTCCCTTTTATTTTTGCGCTCGCATTATACGCGGACAGAATTATCGCGTAACGATCCTCTCCGCGGGATCTTCTTTCCCTTCGATTTCTTTCGCCGGCTCTTCTCCTTAGCCCTCGCCTTCATATTTCTTTGTCGAAATAAAGCGAGGCTCGAGACTCGCCGAAAGAATGATGCGGATCTTCTTAGAAGCGAGATGAATATTGAAAGGGCGTAGAAAGTTATACAAATTTTGTTGTTGAATAGTCAAAACGTGCTGAGGGTAAACGGGAAGGTTTCTCGATCGCGAAATACGTAGTATTTAATAGTCCTCCTCAATTTCTTCAGAAAAATTAGCGACCAATTTTTATGCGATGCTCTTAATTAAAAATGTACTTGGTGATTTCTTTGCGAGTTTCGCTTTCTTGGCCTTCGAGCATGGAAATCCGACAGATTGCAATTGTATGAAACAACGATTATTCTTGAACGGTTCACCCTTTGAAAAAATACACTATATCACTGAGAAACCCAAGTTAATGGAGCCAAAATCTTTTTGTTAGTGGATTTGGTTTCGTTGAATTAAATGAATTGGTTTCTGCAAATGATTTACTCGTTTAGAGAAGTTACTTTCTTTTGTTAGATCTTAAAGGAAGTACTTTGTTCCCTTAACAAATATTGCATTAAACTTATGTTGTCCAGACACAAACATTTTGTTGTAGTTACAATTCATTGTTCATAGCCAGCCGACAGAGGCTGCAACGGTGTCTTCTCTTGACTCCCAATTTGATCAAACAAATAGTCCTCATATTTAGTGCGAAAATAGGACCTTTTTGTTCTTTGAATTTTATTTCGTTCCGTATAATATTTTTGCAACAAATTAATTTTGTTCTTTCGACAAAGATATTTATTTGCTCATATGCAAACAAATGACTTTGTCGTGTCAACCAAAATTCGGTTAATCCGATCAAAATGGGTTTCTCAGCGTACATACAAGTAATCATTTGCGCATTGAACGATAAAGACGCATGAAAAATATCTTTCATTTCAGCAGAACTGGGCACTCCAAATGCGATTTTGGCCGCAAAGGAGGTCGTGTCGTCGTCGAGCAATTACATAGCGCACGAGAAGCTGTCGTATGCATTTAACGCCTGGAGAATAGAATGCGATTGGAACACTTCTACGTAGGACATAGGATAAAATTACATTAAAATTTAATGAGGTAAGAGGATAGGAGATCGGGAACGTTCTCGAATCCAATTCCAGAATATTTTGCTCATCGAGAGAGAGAGAAAGAGAGAATGTACACATGATGTTCGCTACGCGCGCGCGCACACACGCGCAAGAAGAGTGGCACATGTGAAAAAAATGAATTTTTATATTTCTATAATTTATCAACTCGTAAACGTACGTAATTTATTGAAAGAAATGTCGTAAGTGGCACGACAACTTGGGGGGAAGCCAAAGCGATGAGCGCGTTTTGTTTAAAAAATAAAGAGAAGGAACGTTTGAAGGAAAAATACATTATGCAGAAAGATCCAGCAAGGCGAGAAAAGGAAAAGAATGAAGGTAATTTAGGAGACCATGTGGTTGTTAGCTGTGAACGATCGCAACTAGATTGAAAGTTTAATCTTCCTCCTGCAAAATTTTATCATCTGTCACTTTTCTCGCGCAGAAGCGTGTATATACATATATATATATAAATTATATAAAAATAGATTGGTATAAAAACTGTGTGCGCGTGTGGGTGTATTGATTACAAATATATATATATTTTTTTACTAAAAAAAATAATATGCATAGGGCGTTTAACTGTAATTAAATAATTTAAGATATTCTTATGAAATTACTGAAAAATACTTTGAATGTAAAACGCGTACGAACCACCTTGTACTATTTGGAAAAATATTAGGAGAGGATTAATCAATCTTTAGAAGCTTAGAAACTTCGAAAGTTTTAAAAAAATAAATAGCTTATATTTTAATATAAACTGTGAGATATCTTGTAGAGCGGTCATTTCTCTATGATCCAACTGAAATGTCTTAACGTCAAGACTTCACTAAACAAACACTATAAATAACACAGGTTTACAAATATCGGTCAACTTTTGGACCCGAGAAGACAAGAGTGTTTTTTCACGTATTTTTGCGCGCCGAATTCAAATCCGTCGCACGTTTCCCGCCATCAGGTCAGATTTTTGAGATTTCATATGTTTGTAATATACAAGGTGTGTCCCAAAAGTCATAAAATATATTTTTTTACAGCAACCCTACTGGTCGCAGCGTGTTCGAACCAGTTGGGTAAGGTGGGGGGACCCTTAGCTTCATTGAGTACCAACGGTCAGTCTGCTGCGAGAATCAGAAGAATCAGAATAGCTGATTTAGTGCACCCTTGTTTCGAGACCACGTCACGACGCGCGATGGCTACTTTCTAGCAACGTTGGGCGATCAAATTTTGTACAAAACTCGACAAAAAAAGTTACCGAAACTCACGAATTGCTCAAGCAAGCGTACGGGGAGTCTGCTCTATCATATGTGCAAGTTTCGAGTTGGGTGAAGAGGTTCAAAGAATCAACAACCCAAATCGATGAAAATGTGACTCGTGTGTGTGATTTGTTAAATTCTGACCGACGAATAAGTGTTCAGTTATTAGCTGACACTCTGAACATTCCGAAAACTACTGTGCATCACATCGTTACGTAAATTTGATCGCCCAACGTTGCTCGAAAGTAGCCATCGCGCGTCGTGACGTGGTCTCGAAACAAGGGTGCACTAAATCAGCTATTCTGATTCTTCTGATTCTCGCAGTAGACTGACCGTTGGTGCGCAATGAAGATAAGCCCCCCCCCCCTCCTACCTCACCCAACAGGTTCGAACACGCTGCGACCAGAAGGGGTGCGACAAAAAAATATATTTCATGACTTTTGGGACACAACTTGTATGAGAGAAACTATAAAGGTTTTTGGGATGAAGGAATGCTTAGCGATTATTGTTGGTCTCTAACACGTCAAACGGACCCAAAACAATACAAACGGCTCAGTTCCACTGCACTCCATTTCTAATTTTTTGTATTTTGTCAAATAAAATGACAATTTGTGGTTGAAAATTGATAAAAATGGTTCAATCATTTATCTCGAAAACCTGACTTGATGGCAAAAAACGGACTGCGGATTTGTGATCAGCGCCGAAAATGACCTTAAAAACACCTTTTGGCTGCTCGGGTCCAAAACCGTGTAAACCTGTGTAATGGTATTAAATTTAAATCGTACGCTCCACTCGGTACAAAATAGCGCGTACGATTAAAACGTCCCCGCGGCGTTGCGCCCCGAGATTCTCCCTCAGGTTCTTTTCACGGGATCCATTATTTTCAGAACGAAGCCTCACGGTACAAAGCGCGGTCACTACAAGACACTCTACGTCTACGTGATTCCTGCGAAACAAAACCGACCTGAACAGAAAGCAAGAGGGAGGGAGACAATGTTCGCCTGCCGCCTCGCTCGCAGCCCGGCTCGATCGCAGAGAAACGAAGGCCGATCCGGAGGACGCGGCTCTCGCGCGGCGCGATCGCGTTGTCCCGCGGATCAGCCCCGCGACTCTCGCCGGTGATAATAACAAGCGCGGCGCGTCCCTTTCCGGCGCGGCCTTTGAAACCCAATTCACGACAGTTAATTCTGTCCCGGCTGATTCCCGGCGACGCGACGCGGCATCGTTCGCCCGCTCGCTCGTCCGCTCGCGGTAACGCGGGCCGCAATAATTCACGTCTTCTCGTCCGACTATTAACGGCGCGACAACCCGGCCGGCGAGTCGTGGCACGACGGCGGGTCGCACAGCTCGCGCTTATTAGTCCGCGCCGCGCGTTACGCACCTGCATCAATCAGCGAAATTACATCTTGTAATCCCCCTCCTTTCCCACTTTCATCTCCTCCTCCTCAGTAGCCGACCGGCGTTACGTAAGCGCTTCAAACCCGGCTTCTTTTCCCGAATTCCTCGAGGAGCGGAGCGGCGATTTCGCCCTCGGAGCCATTTCGTTCGCGGGCGAGCGACGACGGACCGGCCGACCGGTCGATCATCGCCGGAGATTCCCCCGCGTCCATTTTCCCGTTTTGACTACCTCTCGAGAGCGCGTTGCAGCCCGTTAACGGCGGATTTACGAGCGTTTACCCGGTCTGTCCAAACAATCTCCGCGCGGCGATTTATCGAGTCTCATATAAGACGCCTCGCGGGCGTTCGAATTTTCGCGCCGATAAAACGGCTCGCGTAAAACGCCGCGACTGGAGCGCGGCGAGTACCTCTCGCTCTGCCCCCGGACGCGAAACATTTCGCGAAACGTTTCAAATGGCATTCCGATTAATCGAGGTGATCCGGGAGCAAGTAGCAAAACACGCCCCGCCGCGCTAATTTCGTACGGGAAACGGGACGCGGGAGCGTCGCGGCTCGCGCTCGGTCCGCGAAGGGGAGAGACGCGCGAATAATAATCGCCGGGTCGTCCCTTAAGGAAATGGGGAAAGAGTTAACGAGCGTCCCGGCGCCCATCGGTCGGGCACAATATTATTTTTTTCTCCCGGGATGACAGTCGCTCCCGTCGCGCGTACCGCACCATAAAATAACTGCGCCGCGCGTGAATATTCCGAATGGCGTTAGTTATTTTAAACCGGTCAAAGCAAACTTTCGGCCGCGTTTTAAACCGCCTAACGAAGACGCGTCACATCGAGGAGCCCGTCCCTCTCCGCGTTTCCCCTCCCTCCCCCTCCCCCCACCCTTACCCCGCGCTCCCTCGAGCGCTATCGCGGTGGCGAATCTTCGCGGAAAGAAGAACGCGATCGGGGAGGAAGGAGAGAGGCGCGAGCGTGAACGAGGCTCGCGTCGGGAAACGCGCTCCTCCAGTTTTCGGGATCGCCGTGGCGTTTCCGAGAACGTATTTTTAGAATCGCGAGGCGGCGGACTTAATATAGCGATAAAACGCTGCGGATTACGACGGACGGCGGGGGGCAATCGCGAGATTCGTATCGCGGGCGAAGAGGTGCCGCGGATCCGCCGGGATTCGCGCGTCCCACCCCGGCGAGAAATGGCCTGTCGATCGGCGTCGGGACGAAGTCGAATCGGCGCCAATATGGCGGCTTCGATACGACATTGCTTCGGCGTCGATTGACGAGTCATTTCTGACTGGGTTCGATTGACCGAGGCCCAGCGCGATTATTAGCGCCTCGGGGCCGCCTCGGGGCTGTATCCGCCAACGTTAATTGGCCCGGTAAAAACATTTGTCTACGTTCCGGCCCGGGCGACAGTTCCCGCGGGGGTCTCGACAGCGGGAGTCCCCGAGTCCGCGCGCGGACTCTCCCGCGCCTCCGCTTTTTATTCGTCGCGCAACGCGCCGGTGCCGACCATAAATCTCTTTGAATTCAATTAGCCAAGACACATCCGAGACGTTCGGCGGTGCCGCCGCCCTTCCGTCCCGTCCCTCCGGCGGGGCCTTTTCGGGCTGCCCCTCCGTCCGATGACGCTTCTCGCCGCGCTGCAAAAACAAACCCGACGTCCGTCCGTCCGCCCGTCCGTTCCCGTCGACGGGACGGGATCCGAGGCCGCAGAGTTGACCGCGTTAAAAATTCGTTCGAACCGGACACGCCGTCGATTTGTCGCTTTCTTTACCGCTTGGGTTAGTGGACCGCCCGTTCGCGGGCGACCAGCAACTTCGCGACCTTAAACGACGAGTAAACATCGGACAGCTGGGATTCTCCGGTTTATTTTCTCGAGAGAGAGAGAGAGAGAGAGGGAGAGAGCCTGAAATCCCGATTCTCGCTGTATCTATCGGGGCCCGATAACTTTCCGAACCGGTGGTTCCCTCGGGAGAGTCCCGGCTCCTCCTCCCGTACTTTATGGCGATAGTAAAAGAAAGACGTCGAGAATGACCATGACAGCTGCCTCACATCGCGGGAGCCCCTAGACAACGAGCCGTGCAGCGAATTCAAGGACGATCCGAGAGAGAGGGAGTGAGAGAGAGAGAGAGAGAGAGAGAGAGAGAGAGAGAGAGAGAGAGAGAGAGAGAGAGAGAGAGAGAGCGCTTCCCTCCTCCCTCCTCATCTTCCCTTCTTCCTCGACCTCTTCGACCCCTCCGAGCCCCGTTTCTCTCGCGTTAGTAATTGCCGGTATCCCCAAAAATAATTTTCACATACGAGCGAGCGAGCGAGCGAAGTCTCATCTGTCACGGCGCTTGACAAAACGTTCGCTGTGTATCTACGGAACAACGTTTCGAAGATCCAGTCGTCGAGGACGTAATCCCGACGTCGGCGCGCCGACGAGAATGGTGGGTTTTTCG